GTATGAGAATATCCGTCCTCACCCCTCTTGACATTAAAGCAGGCTGACAGTAGTTTTTTGAATTAATATGAACAATATGATGTCCTGCGCGGTGATTATCCCACGCTACTCTCCACTGGTGTGGTCTCACCTCAAGCACTGTGTGCAGTTTTGGGTGCCACAGTGTAAGAAGGACATAGAAGTATTAGGGTGTGTCCAAAGGAGGGCAACAAAGATAATGAAGGGTCTGGAGTCCTATGAAATGTGTCTGAGATCACCGGGTTTGTGCAGCTTAGGGAACTGGAAACTGAGGCGAGGCCTCACGGCAGCCTGCAGCTCCCTCACAAGGGGAGCGGAGGGGCAGGCGCTGAGCTCTGCTCTCTGGGGACAGTGACAAGACCCAAGGGCATGGCATGGAGCTGGGACAGGGGAGGGTCCGGCTGGGTGTAGGGAAAAGTTCTGCACCCAGTTGGGCACAGGGTCAGGCTTTCCAGTGAAGTGGGCACTGCACACTGAGCCTGCTGGAGTTAAGCATTTTGACAACGCTCTGAGACATACAGTCTGATTTAGGGGTGGTCCTGTGTGGAGCCTGGAGTTGGACTCATGATCCTTGTGGGTCCCTTCCAGCTTGGGATATCCTATGATTCTGTGATGCTGCCTGTTTAGCACTTAATCACCTCAAGATTAAAATCAGCACCTTCATCAGTAAATGGAGATGACTCCTCATAGGTTGTTATATCATAGAAAACTCTTCATTCTTTTTTTAGATTTCTTTCTTAGGCATTTTTTTTTCAGATTTGCTCTAGTTAGATTTAAATTGAAGATTCTCTCATAAGCAAGCGCTAGTTTGTTTATAGTTGATGAATGGGTCACAAATCATCTGTTTCATAAATGTAGAGAGAACCTGGTTGATAAAACAGCAACAAAAAAATAGAAAACATCCCTTTCAGAAGTTTGGGTGTGTACGACATGCAATCCTGTACCTGGAAGTAACTATCTGTATTGGTGCTTGAGGCAGATGCTGCTGAGAAACTGGATTTAAGAAACTAGGATTAAGTGACTGAACATTTTTTTTCCCCACTTAGACTGTGCAAGATAAGCATGTTGTTTGACCCTGATCTGCAGGTGTGTGGTGGTTTCACCCTGCTCCACAACTGCTCTCTCACTTCCCCTACTCAAAGGGAGAGAGGGGGGAAGTATGGTGAGAAAGAAAAAGGCTCATGGGTTGAGATAAGGGTAATCTAATTAAAGGGGAAAAAAAAATAAAAAAAAATAAGGAAGTGCTATTTGGGAGCAAAGAAACATAGAAAACAATTATTCTCTACTTCCCCTTAATGAGCAGTGTTTGGCCATACCTTGGGAAGCAGGGCCTCAATACGTGTAGCTGTTGTTCAGGAGGACAGACATTTTCATAATGATAGCCCCCTTTTCTCTTTCCCTTTCCCACCTTCTATTGCTGAGTGCGACGCCATATGGCGTGGAATATCCCTTTACTCAGTTTAGGTCAGCTGCCCTGGTGATGTCCCCTTCCCACTTCTTGCCCACCAGCAGCCTACTGGCTTTGGAGGTTTGGGGTGGGATCTTGATGCTGTGCCAGCACTGCTCAGCAACAAACAAAACACCGATGTGATTTCAGGGCTATTCTAGGTACGTGTGCAGAGCACAGCAATGTATGGGCTGCTGTGGGGAAGGTTTAATCCATCCTAGCCAGATGATTGCCATCTTTTGTTTAACAGCTCGGTGCTTAGAGAACATGAGGGACCCGGGCTCAGGTCAGCCATAAGAAAGCAGGAATGCCATTTCTGTAGAGTGCCCTGTTTTAGTACATTTTAGGCCATACTGAGCCAAACTGTTCTTTTCCCGTATGTTAAGGTTGGATCACTATTTAGTCAATACAGTTGTGAGTTCATGAGAACACCAAGCAAGTGGGAAAATGGTTCTATACCATGGTGATTAAAGCATCAGACTGGAAAAACAACAAATGTATCAAAAAGGTGTAAGATGGTTGTACCTATGAAATATACTGCCCTGAAGGAAAAAAAAAAAAAAAAAAAAAAGCTTCTTTAGCAGAACTGATCTTATTTTGAACTTTTTTTTTCTTCTCTTCTAGTGAATGTACCAGCCTAATTTTTTAGACTCAGTAATTCAAAGGTCTGAGGTATGAACCTCTTCTGATTTCTCACCCTTTAGTGGCTTTATATATAATATATATATTTCTTTTAATAATGAGTTGGTACAGTGTAATACTGCAGTGGCTTAGACTAATCTTGTCTAAATTGATATAGCTATCTATGGAATGGAAAAGCTGTGTTTCCTTATTTTTGAGTAAACGTGCAGCACAGCACAATGTTCTTTGTGGGGAAATAGCTAGGTCAGTTCCATACACAGGAGAAACATGCAAACCAACCCTTTTTTATATGTGGTTACTACAATGTACATATTCCATGAATAATAACATTTGTGCTTTAGCATTTTTTGGATCTATACCATTTATACTCAGAATGTCTCCAGAACACACATCTATACTCTGAATATCACGTTATTGTCCAGCAAGTAATTCTGCTTCTGAGTCTTACGTTTGTGCTCTTTTCATTAGCTCTAAAAATGCTATTCCTTCTTCACCATTGCTTTCTCAATTCATTTCTACCAGTGGAAGAATAAGAAAATAAAAGATCCTCAGCTGCTCTGCTTTTGTGTGTGTGGCTGAGGTGCACAATAACAATGACTCAGGCCTTCTGCAGATTCTCTATTTAACAGTGTTACCATTTTTACTTAAAACAAAACCAAAAAAACCCTCCCCTTTCCCCCCAAAACTAAAAAAAAAAAAAAAAATTAAATAACATTCAAAAAAACACCTTTGGCTGCATTCATCACTCATGAACAAGCAGATATCCTGAACCTTTGGTACTGATTTGTACATCATTCCTTCCACTCTTTTTTCTATCTTGAGACAAGACAATCTTGACATATGTTCAAATGCGCTTTATTGTTGCTATATAGGGATTAGAGGAAGGGTTAATATGTATAATTTGCTTTATTAGTAGTGTTTGGCAGGTCTGAAGTGCTTTTTATTGAAGGATTTCCAGTACTGTGCAGCACTGCATGTACCTACCTACATTGTAGCTAGGTGTCGGCCATTTCATTTTTACGTATTGGGAAACTGAAGCAGTTAGCAGTGAACAAGTCACTGTGGCCAAACAAGTAAATAAACAACCTCATTAAATCCTTGTCCTCCATCTTTATAATCAGTTACATGTCCATAACATCTTTATAATCAGTTACTTTCCTTTCTCTACATATACAGTAAGCCTGAAATCCTACCAGTGTTTATGTGCATCCATAACTCTAAAAAAAGCTGGATAATTCATTGCATTTTAGAAAACTGCTCAAAATGACTCCCCAGGAAAAGAGGAAATAAGAAATCAAGTCTGTTTGTATGTTCTTGGGTTGTTTAACTCCTTGGTACTTCAACACAATTTTTTCTGTGCCTTGTATTTAATTAATCTTATATATAACATTGCATTACTAATCCTATTTAACTATTTCCATGCAGCCAGACACAGAAAACAATGCACATATACAGAAAATAAAAAATTAAGAGTAGAGGCAATCTCAAACAGTTCCAAAACTAAAACTTTCTGAAATACCATATATTTATGCTACTACCTGGATTCTAAGCACAGGACATCCAAAGCCAGCTGAGTGCCTAATAATCTGACAGATCTGTAATCTGACATTGTACCTCTAAAAGAAATGCTTTAGTGGAAACAATACTGCTCACACAATTATTGGATATTAACTAGTTCAGACAATATCCCTTCTATATATTATAAAGATCACTTCTGAAGCCTCTTATTTCCTATCTAGGCAGTGTCCTAATCTGGAATGAAATCTCATTTCTGAGTTAAGGAAGATGCTTGATTTGGAAAATTAATTTGGTAATATGTGACTTACAGTGACCTCCACATTCGTTTCCAAGGATAAATACAGAATTTACACTGTCACTGCAATTAATGCACAGTAACATTTCCAGTAGTTTCCAGGCTTCTTGTGAAACTGTTGAATTGCAAGTTCATCTGAGTACAGCATAGAAATCTAAAATAAATCTGTCAGTCAGTTGTGCATATCCAGGCTTGTATCAGTATTACTGGAAACAAAATCCAAGTTTATACTAAATAGAGAGTTTATATGATCTAGGAGTGTAAAATGTTGCAATTACACTGCTTATATTTGTATTTGGTTTATAGCAGCCAGTAATGAATGTACTATTTGTTCAAGAGCTTTTCAGCATGTATTTACATATGTAATTTTATCTCAGGTTATGTGGTATTTGACATAAAACCTGTATTTCTGGAGTGAACTGATAGTATAGCTATCAATTTCTGAAAAGAAGATTTAACCTTCATATTTGTGAATGAAAGCTGGAAATCCTGGGTCAAAGGAAAGTCTAGAAAACCCCCGAACATGGGTTATTAGTAAATAAAATCTCTCTCTCTTTCTCTTTTTTTTTTTTTTTTTTTTTTTTTTTAAGGAAAGGTTTATTTTTGTTTTAGTCTCAGTCTTCCTGTTGAATGATGCTTGGGCTGGTGAGGCAATATGGCCTTACATACATGTAAGGCAGCGTGAACATACACCTTTATATACCTATACTACATATTACATATATGTATGGCGCTGTGAACATACACCTTTTCTTATATATTGAACCCAAACTGGAGTGTACCGAGCCTTTCTGAAGCTCAATACTGGTTTTCCAGGATGTATTTCTTGTAGGTTAGTAACTGTCTAGTGAATGGAAAATGGGAATCACCATTTTTCTGTGACCAGACATAGAAGTTCACTATTTCCCAGGGAGGATTCTCACTTAGTGAGAGGGAGAGTTGTGTTCTACCTAATAAGCTCACAAATGGATGGAACAGAAATACCAGATTACACCAGCATGATTTGTCTGCCACTCATAAGGTATACAGTCCCAGTAAGATAATCATTTTTTCTTTTCTTTTGTTATTTCCATTTTCTAGAAAAAACAGGTGAGCCAAACAAAGATCCGTGTGATCTCTACCATACTCTTCATCCTGGCTGGCTGCATTGTCTTTGTGACCATTCCTGCAGTTATCTTCAAACACATCGAAGGATGGACAGCCTTGGAGTCCATCTACTTTGTGGTTGTCACTCTGACTACAGTTGGCTTTGGTGACTTTGTAGCAGGTGAGCAGCATTGAGCCTAGGTGCTATGCATGAGGTCCTTGGCTCTTAGAATTTGTTTTCTGGTGTGGAGAAGGGACATTTCACAATATATTATATCCAATTAAATTAAACTAGGTGTTTCAGTTGAGGTTAATGTGCAATAACATGCAGGACTCCAGGCTGATTTAATACCCAGGTACCTTTCCATCTGCAGAGTGCAAGCTTTCAGCAGGGTAGATAGCAGGAGTCTGGGAAGTCCTGATTATCCCTTATCGTGCAATGAATTATGCACAAGTCAAATGACTTTCCTATTGAATTCAGGATTTGTATTAGTCCATTAGGTCTCAATATGAGGCTGATTGCTGAAGCAAGTAGCCAAAATGATGAACGGACAAAAGTCTTACAAGTTAGGGTTGATCTATAAGGCTGGAGAAATGTCTGGTTTGATGCAGTACTAGGCTGCTAAAAACTGTTGCAGAAACTGCAGCATTTCAGAGGCTGGATCTTGTTCTCCAGCCTTGGCAACAATTTCTACATTGCAGCTACCCTGTTAAGAAGAACTCTTGTAGGAAAGGAAAGGAAAGGAAAGGAAAGGAAAGGAAGGGAAAGGAAAGGAAGGAAGGAAGGGAAGGGAGGAAGGGAAGGGAAGGTACGGAAAGTAAAGGAAGGGAAGTGGAAGGACAGGGTTCCGTAAGTAAAGGAAGGCAAGGACGGACATGGGACTTCCCGAAAGGAAGTTGTCCCTGGACCTGATTGTCCCGGGACTGCCCTTACGGCCGCACCTGACAGCCCTGCCCTTCCCTTCACAGTACAGTTCGAACTGTCCAGGAAACTCACGGAAGACTACTATAGGTCTGTATGCATCTCAGTGCTAGAAGGCTGCTCTCTGTGATGAATACAGTACTAGCTGGAGCTATAAATATCCATCCTTATGAATTACCAAAGAAGAAATCAGGATTGTTGGCTAGCGAGATGAGAGAATTTTTTCAGTCTTTTCATTCTACTGCTTTGCTAAGGAAAAGCTGGTTAAAATAAGTGGAATTTCTTTTCCCATTTGTGCATGACCTCTACTCCTCATTCCTGTTAGTGGTCCTAGTTAAAGGCATTAAGATGCCTATGTTACAAAGAGCCATATTATGCTACTGTTTTGTTATTTCCTATAACATCAGTGGAATTTGAATGAGTTAAAAACATCAAATGAAACTACAGAGATATGTAAAGTTTTCTTTGCTGAAGAGCTGTAGACAAGTCTTTCGTAGACAAGACTCTCATCCTCCTTTTTTTTCTGACATAGTGGTATAGAAGAAGTGAAACATTGAGGAAAAAATCCACTTTAACCACTTAAGTGTGAAGTAAGAAGCTCACTGCTATTCTGGCTTTGTGGTATCACAGTATGAAGTAAAAATAATTAACAATATTCTTCTTAAGCATGTGGCACTTTGGTAATGTTTTCTTTAATAATATAGTTTTAAAAAAATAAATTGTTGTTCTATATTCAACATGATTGGGAGAATGTAATACACAGCTGGGTTGCTACTAGTGGCCAAGATTTTTCAAAAATCAAATGGGGACCCTGAATAAGAAAACTTCAAAGATGGTCTCATGATTAAGAGCTTAAGGCAAGTGATCACCAGGAGATTTTGATTTTATTGCTGGTTTTGAGAAAGATTGTCTGTCACTTTTATTTCCTGTCACTTTATTCTCTCTGTATCTCTATCCCTTCAACATCAAAGAGAAAATGCCATGTCATAAAGCAGCATCAGTGGAGCTATGTTGATTTATTCCACCTAGAATGCGTCCCAACTCCTGCCAAATTGGGAGAGTTTTTGTAGTACTGTTGGAAATACAATTAAGGATGTATTCTGGAAAAACAAACAAACAAACAATCACCGAATATTTGATAGGCTGAAAAAAATAAATGTTTTCATACTTTTTCAGAAGTCAATCGCCTGATTTCTACTTAAGACAGACCTAGACAATCTGCTTCATAGCTAGCTTATGCAGGGATGCGTGTGATCAGAACAGCCTCATTGTACCATAGCAACAGCTGTCCCCACCTACCATTGTTTTGCACTCTTGAAGACTGGAAAAAGAGAGTGATTCATGCAGTGTATGGGGAGAGATTAATATCAAAAACAGTATTTGGGTTCCTGCCAGTGCTCAAATGTCTGAGCTTTCATGGGGATGTTCAGTGACTGTATGCACACTCATGCTCAGTCTGGGTAAAATTAAAGAGTTATAAAATATCTCAGATTGCAAAATTCTCAGGAGGAGACACTGAGCCATGTCATCTGGGGAATTTAATGTAGGAAAATCCTAAAAGCTCTCTGTTGTGATAAGGAGGTACAGGTTGGTGTCCAGCTCTCAAACAACCAAGATTAGGAAATATGCATTCCTATGTCCCAGGCAGGGGACTTAGTCTTTCTTGCAGTGCATGTAGCACTGTGATAGGTCTAGAAGTTTCAAAAGTGAGGTTGTAGCTGCTTTCTTTTACAAAGGTTTATCTTGTTCTGTGGTAGGTAGCAGCCTAGGTGCTACTGTATTTGTTTTAGGCCCTTCACCGGAGTTGCCAAATGCTCACATATTTGTTTTACTAGATCTTCCTGAGACTTGCATGAAAAGCATCTTAGATTCCTGCTTGTCTGAGCACTGGTACAGGTTGCTTGGAGAGGTTGTGGAGTCTCCCTCCTTGGAGATATTCAAAAGCCTGGGGAACCTGCTCTGGGTGACCCTGCTTGAGCAGGGTGATTGGACCAGATGACCACCAGAGGTCTCTTCCAGCCTGAGTCACCATTCTGTGATATTTGTTGCTTCATTTGATCCATATCTCCTCTAAAGTCATTGGCCAGAGAATGCATCCTATAACTGATATCCAAGCAGACAGTATATTCTTATTATCAGAATTTGTACAGCATTGGCTTTCTGTCAGATACTCTGATTTGGAGGGGAAGGCAAAGTTATTTTTCTGTCTTATACACAGAGGTCTCTGAATCCTGTATTTAAAAACAAAGAATCTGGAAACACTATCACCTGAGGGGGTTGAACTGTGAAGTATCCAAATTACCAGGCTGCCAACAGTTCAGGATGAGGGAGACTAGCTGTATTATTTTTTTTTTCTTGAAAATGTGTTCATGCTGTTGCAAGTACTATTGAAGCAGGAACTTCAGAATTGCTTCAGACTACCAGCAATTTGAAGAAAAAAGTTTACCAGGTGCTCTGGCAGGTCATATAGCAGCAGAACAATATGCAATTCTGAAGAATCGTAAATCAAGAACAGACTGTTCCTCCCATCTGACAAGCCTCTCATCTTTTATTAGAACTACAATGGTGTTGGCAAGAGTCAAAAATATTTCAAGGAATTTCTCAGAATTTCAGATATTTTGTCATCAATTTTGGCATCTCATGCTTCCTAAGCATAATTATATGCTTATTGCAGGAGGAAATGCTGACATCCATTACCGGGAGTGGTATAAACCCTTAGTGTGGTTCTGGATCCTTGTTGGCCTTGCCTATTTTGCTGCTGTCCTGAGTATGATTGGAGACTGGTTAAGAGTCCTGTCCAAGAAGACAAAAGAAGAGGTATGACATAATATCTCATTGTTTTTTCATTTTATAAGAGAGCTTTAAGTGCCTGATTTCTGCTTGTCTAATGAAGGATGCTCCTCTGCTTGACCAATGTACAGTATTGCCTATGGTTTACTCCACTGACTGTCTTTGCTATCCTGTTAGCTCTGATCTTTACCTTTTTCACAAAGGGTGGAAAAAAGCAACTGAAGCAAACCTATGTTGTTACACCTCTATCAGTACTATTGAATACACAGAACACACCAGTAGGATTGCAATTATGAAATAAGCAAGACTGGCCTTCACTATGAAGCAAGTTTTCAAACTGTCATAAAAATTTCAAGTGCTCTTTCTTCAAAATGAGAAGTGCATGGATTTTTAAGACATTAGTTGGCTCTGTTCCTTATTAAACAATAATCTGCCTTTAAACCAGGCTTCAACACTGAGTTTTCCCACTTTTCCCTGTGTCAAAGAATATGGTTCTGAGTAAGGGTTTAGATTCAGGCCCCCGTGTTTTTAAAACTTGAAGAAATTGAGTAGGTGGCATCAGGGAAAACATGATTAAATACACTCAGAACATGCCCTCCATGGTTCAAAGACAATATTGCTAGTGCTCAGAATAAGAGTGGAAAATGAAAGGTAATTGCTGTAGCTCTGAAGCTGAAGCCTGCTGTGGGGGAGGTTAATATAATTTCAATTTTTAATGCAATCTCCTCCTGCATTCCTAGCAAAGCTAACCTGGCAGGGTCAACTAAAGAGCAGGAATAACCAAAATTTGACAGAGGCAGAGCTGTTTATCATTTATGAAGGCAGCTGACCCACCTGAGGCCCAGTGCAGCTCCACAAATGAAAGGGGAGAATATCAGCTATCAGGCTGCTCAGTAGCAAGACAGTGCTTGGCTGTAGCACCCAGAGGTGAGAATTTGAGCTCTCATGGTGGATGTGAGATACCTGCTACCACAGATAGTCCAGTTCTAAGAGGACATCTGTTCACCTGGACCACTGGATGCAGAAATGGAGTTCTGGCCCCAGCAGCCCAAGGAAACCATTGACCTTGGTGAGCTGCTGCAAACATTGTACTCCTGAATCTGTTCTCCTTTAAATGAGCTTTAGAAAAGGCCTGTGTTGACTGAGATATTGCTTGGCCATGTCTTTTTTTGTGTGTCTCTCAAGAAGAAGTATTTGTTCAGCAGCCATTTCAGTGCTTTATTCTTAGTTGTTATTGTTCTCTCAGGTGCAAAGGAGTAAAAGAGAACAGAACAGTGAGACATTTAAGGACATCCTTGTGGTGCCCACACAGAATGTTGATGTGTTTTGAAAGCTCCTCCTTCAGGAAGCAGCTTGCTGATTGCTGGCTTGAGGGGGTGTTATTTGGATAGTTATGCAATGGGCACCTCCATTAAAGACAGCTAGAGCTGTCCTGGAGAAGGAACACTAGACTGGATGCATCAGCAGATTTTTGGAGTATTTGAAGTTACCTAATAGGTATTCCCAACATTAATTGCTTTGTGGCACTGAGCAGAATGTTCAATGGGAGTGAACAGCTCTGCCCATGAGCAATACAGAAAAATACATTGCTGTATTGCTACACACTGGTTGCTGTGCTGTTCTGAGGCATATTAGTATAAATATATGTAAATAATTTTGCCCACTCCTGGCTGTCTACAGCTGATATTTTAAGTCATTAATTTTGTTCTTAATCGTGGAGGGATTAGCATGGAGACCTCCTGCCATGGAACATAACTTATAAAATCTGTGGAGTGGCAAGAAGTGAAACTGGTAGCCCAGTGATATGCCACATAAGTTATTTACTAGTCACGTGTTGGTATCTTTAGACCCTTCCTGAGTATAAACACTTTGCTGCTGAAGTTTGGCCCGGATGTATGCTTTGGACCTGGGACTGGTCTCTGAATCTATGCCAGACAAAAAGGTGGTTATGCTACTGGGAACAATTCGTAGGAATGAATGTCACTTCATTTTGTGTGAGTGTGTTCTTTCTTTATTTATTTTTATTAATTTATTTTTCTTGTTGTAAAGGTTGGAGAAATAAAAGCCCATGCAGCTGAGTGGAAAGCCAATGTGACAGCTGAGTTCAGAGAGACACGGCGGCGGCTCAGCGTGGAGATCCATGACAAACTTCAGAGGGCTGCCACCATCCGGAGCATGGAGCGTAGGCGCCTGGGCCTGGACCAGAGAGCCCACTCCTTAGACATGCTGTCTCCAGAGAAGCGGTCTGTCTTTACGGCCTTGGAAACGGGACGCTTCAAGGCTTCATCTCAGGAAAGCATCAACAACAGGCCTAACAACCTGCGCCTTAAAGGGCCGGATCAGCTCAACAAGCACGGGCAAGGGGCGTCTGAGGACAACATCATTAACAAGTTTGGATCTTCTGCTAAGATGACCAAAAGGAAAAACAAAGACCTCAAAAAGACCATCCCTGAGGATGTGCGTAAAATTTATGAGACCTTCCGAAACTACTCCTTGGATGAAGAAAAAAAGGAAGAGGAGACAGAGAAGATGTGTAATTCTGAGAACTCTTCTAGCACTGCAGTCCTGACCAACTGCATCCAGCAGCACTCGGACCTGGAGAATGGAGTGATCCCCACTGAAACCAAAGAAAGGGAACATGAAAACAAAGCATTACTTGAAGACAGAAATTAAATGTAAAAGATGCTTGACTTGAATTAACAATGTTAGTGTTTTATATACATATATATATTGAGACACGTGCCTTATACAGACTCCTTATTCAGTCTGAATTATATAGCATCGAAGAATATTTCACTGTGCCATAAAGACTCAAGCTTGCTCTGCCAAAACAAGTCAGGAACACAGCACTGCAGAATGGCAACAGAAAACTACGCACATGGAAATTTCAGCCTGTATAAGATTACCAGGGCAAGACGCAAAGGAAGAGGCTGAACCACAGCGATACCAGCAGAGTGATATGACCATGGCATAACATTAGACAAAAGGCAGCTATGTAAGAGGAGCCTTTGAAAGCGATAAAAAGGAGTATATCTTTGTAATGGAGTATGTATTCATTAAGCCTTCCCCTGGTGATTAAAAAGAGGAGAAATTATTGGAGTGAACTAGAAACTTTCAGTAAGGCTTAGTTTATGTTTTGGCACGTGATCCAAGCTGGATTTTTTTTTTTTTCCATTTTTGAACCAGATGCATTATCTTTCTAAACTCCAAACGAATGTCAATGGACACAGCCACCAGCTGGATGCTGGTTTGAAAAATCAACAGAGACATATTTAAGGGTCGGATTGCTCTTTTCATTAAAAAAAAAAAAAAAAGAAAAAAACTCTGTGGGTATTTATCTTAACCAGTGAAAAAAAAAATGAAAAAAGAAAAAAAAGAAAAAAGAAAAGAAACAAATGGATTTTATTCTCTTGTAGGAAACATTCAATGTAAACTCACAGCAAGAAAGCGCTTATGAAGAAAATGCAACATCTACTGCTATGTTGTTTAAAAGAAGAGAAACGTTAATTTAATGATATTTGACTAGGTGTATAAAACAGTGGGCCAACTGTTTTTTAAAAGAATTTCTCATTCACACTTTCTACCACTGAAAAACCTTTCAATTTTAATGCTGTAAGACTATGAAGGCAGAAGGAAAGCTTATAGCTTTTGCATGTCAGCATACTGCTGTTCTCTGTAGCTGAATTTGAATTTTTAAAAATAGAAATAAGAGCATATACATTATTCAAATGAGGGCCAGGGCAACCATAGAATCTCAGGGCTCTATGCCCCTTTTGCTGGGTTTGGGTTTAGACAAGAGCTGCAGTCATAATCTCAAATTAAAAAAAAAAAAAAAAAAGAAAAAAAAAGGAGAGAGAGAAAAAAAGAAATTTAGGAAAAGAAGTTGAGAAAAATATGGTGGTAATCTTTTAAGTGCTTATAGCTTTAAGTGCCATTAATGCTGTCATATTTTGTAACTTTTTAAACAAGTATTTGGAATTATTTGTTTTAATTTCCTTTTCAGGTATTATCTTTTTTTGGCATTTGCTATCTCTTTTCTTGTTAAATCTAAACACGAGCTCTCTGCATTTCCAGGTTAAAGTGAAGTGTAACCAAATTGTAGGTATTTTTAAAAAATTATTTGTGGTGTCTGGACGCATATAGATATAAGACACACAAATGTCCCTAGACTTCATAGTAAATATTCAAAGAAAAGGCTGCAAAATATTTAATAGGAATTATGAAAAACACTTAGTTTTGGTAGTCTCAGCCTGCAGGCTACTGTTTGCCATTGCAGATAGAAGATTTTGCATGCCAGAAATGAAATACATGATTGCACCAGCAATGCCTCCCCTGCGCCTTCTCCAACTCTTAAATAGTCTTGCAATTCAAGCTGTAGGCATATAGGTAAAGTAAGCATGGATGTAGATGGCAGAGACATACCGAGTCCCATAAGCTAGTCAAACGTACAGACGATATGGGCACAGACTTCTGGAATTGCATGTCCATATCTGCATACACAGAAATGCATGCTCCATTTTCTGTGATAGCTTCTTAGATTTCATGCACAATGAACCAATTCAAAATCTAACTGGTCACCAGAATATGATTGCCAAGGCTATGAATAGAAACATGGCAATGAAAATGCAAATTTTGAGTATCCATATTTGCATATCTAATTGACTCTGCACCATTTGCAGGAGCAAGCCAAATATCACTAGTCCAAAAGAGGAAAAGTTCTTCGTATGTTCTGTCTGCTGATTCACTTCACTTGAAATATCACATCATCTTTCTAATTCCTTTATCTATTTGAAAATTAAGGATGAAAAAACAATGTTTGAAAAATTTCAGGTCATTTGGGATTACTTTAACTCAATAAGGTCCTACAGAAATTGCATTCTGCTTAGGTCACCAATGAATCTCTAAAGGCACAGGGCTGTCTGCTGGCTTTGGTGTACTGGAGGCAGGACAGTGAGCCTCATCCCAGGGAAGGTTCCTGCTGATTCCATAGCTGCCCTTGCTTTGGGGCCACACCATGACATGGACAGCAGCTTGCAGCCAGCCTCAGACCCATCCTGCTCAGGCTGCAGGCAGAGGCCAGGGAGAAGCAGGTCTGTTCAACGTAGGAATCCTCAAGCCCTCCTGACAGTCCTGGTTTTGGGCAGGCATGGGATGAAGTAGGGCCTCCAGTGCCACACATGAGCAAGTCCTCTGAAGTCTTGGAAATTCAGTGAAGCCTTTTGTGCTCATTCAGTAGACTCAGGGTGGATAAAGTACACTTGGATATAGTGAGGCTTTCTGTTGTTTAGATCTGGGGCTTTACTGTAGACTAGTAGAAAGTTAGGAGCAAAAGCTACAATTCGAGTATGCATTTGAATTGCAGACAAGGTTCAGAAGTGCTCAGACATGTGATTCAGGTCCCATGAATTAAAGTACTGCCTGGTTACACCGTACTGCACTTTGCTTGTATTAAGGATCAGGCACACAAAAGCAAGTCACCTGAGCCTGAAAGCCTGCAGTACATGCAGATTGTGCTAACAATTCTCCATGGTTACCAAATGCCAAAAACAACATCACACATGCAGTTTTATTTGCTCTTCAACTGACTTGTCGTCGCAAGAAATGCTTGCCTGTAATGGAAAAGTCCTGCATAGATGCACAGACAGATATGTTACCTCTCTGTGAAAAATAAGGCTTAGTCATAGCCAGTACATTTCTGCAGGGAAAGCTGGACTCATTGTCTTGTAGGCCTTGTCTGTGAGAGCAAGGAGTTAGTGGGCAAGTCATGGAAAACACATCAGCATGGACAAAATTGCTGAGGAAGTAATATTTGGTGGCCAAATTCAGAACTGCTTGCTGTGATGTGATAGAAGGACAATGCAGTCCTGGCATATTTTTCATCTCTAAATTTTCTGAGTTCTGTCTGCATCTAGCTGATGGCATCTGTGGCCAGCTTTGGTTTCTGCCTGCCCATCCCATGCAGGAGTCCATGGCTGACATTTTACCAAGCTGTGTCTTCACCCGCTTCTGGTTTGGGATATGATTGTTTTAGGGCCAAAGGGTGATGCTGAATAAACTCCCAGTGAGATACAGAACAGAGCATTGGATGACATGAAAGCAAAAAATTTTTTTTTTCATTCTGCCCCCCTTCACCCTCATTTGTGTGTCTGTGAATCTTGCTGAGAAAGCTGCCAGTCTGCTAGTGGAGTAAATACTTTCTCCCGTATGATTGCCTGTTAAATTCCTCAATACACATCAATTTGTATTACAATGTGGGAAGTGCAAAGGGTGTATTGTGTAGGGTGGCAGCCAGTGATGTCTGAAAACTAAAATGACATTTTATTGTCCTACATTGCTTCTCCCCGGCAAAGGCCATCTCTGGGTTTTACTTCTATGTAGCAGTTTGGGAGAGGATCTCAGTTCAACCATGAAGTGTTTTGGTGGTTAAAATTCTCACCTTTTGGAATTTAGATTACTTAGAAAAAAAAATAATTGTGATGCTATTTCTAGTAAGGCTGTTCAACCATTATTGCAACTTTTGGCAAAAGATAGTCTGAAGTATATCCAAATCTCCTTGCACTTAATTACAACCTTTCACAGCAGCCTAAAAATAGTCAGACAAAATGGCGACTTACTGACTTTAACTCTCAGATCCCGCACTGAGCACAACATGACTTGACATGGGAATTGGGACCTGAAAGAACAAAGGAAACATGGATTTTCTGTAGCCGCAGCCCTCACACATAGAGGAAGACTCAGCTGTCTGTTTTCCTACAGCTTTCAGCTCTGCAATCCCACTCTCTTCTGTCTTGTGCAGGAGACTTCTGGCACGCTCCTTTGGGGATCCTCCTGAACCATTAACGATCACTGAACTTGTGCAGATTTTGCATGAGTGGTTTTGAAAAGGTTTGTAACTTCATCCATGTGGCAGTCTGTGAATTTCTTTGTCTTTTTTTTTACAGGGAACATTATTTCTAATAAACACCTTATTAGAAATAATAGTAAATAAAAAAGCAGTGATTTATATTAACAAAATCTGATTTTTGTTGTTGCTGTGAAATTATAAACCATCTGAGCTTTTGCTGTCTGGCTTTATGATGTCTCTAGTAGAAGTCTGCTTCTTCCAAAGCCATTAATGGGCGATGCCAGAGACTTTCTGCAAAATTCTCTGTAATCCACGATAAACAAAACTATGTCTGTGAGTTCAGGGTGTTAAAAATCCTGTCCTTAAGAAACCTGTATTTTCCTGAAGAATGCGTGTTTATGCTGTACATGGGCTGTTTGTTTGTTTGCCAGCTTTGGTTTTCTCAGGGGCTTACTTGTGTTGTCAGGTAGCATGATGTCTGCTAGTCTCACTTTTCCCATCATCCACTAAAAATAAATAACAGGCAAAGACCAAGCTTTATGTAATGTTGTATATTAAACTGGAACAAGAAGTCTTCTGCTAAACAGATAGATACAAATGTAAAGGGTGACTGGGAACTGCTTCAGTCCTTTCCATACCTCTGTTCGTTTTGAACTATGCTTTCTTTAATCTAAGACCAAAATCTGCTCCCATCAAAGTCAGTGCAGTAAAGAGGAGCTAGCTTCTTATTTTTAAGCTTTTTAAGGTAAAGATTTGCTGTTTGGGCATTGAAGTGTTATTTGCACTTACCGAGATGGCGTTATGTCAATACTAAATACAAATAAGCCCAGCTTCAGAAATGGTTCCCTAGGCAATAAAATATCAATGAAAACACAAATGCAAATCAACACAAATCTGTGGAACTCAAATAGAAGCTTGTAGATTAATGTATGAAACTAGTTGCCTGAAATATATCATCACAGAAATGCAGATTTGGAAGTTCCTGTAGGTTGCCTAATTTTTCCCAAGGTCCCCATCTTGTTCCCTACCAGTAGCAGTTAGTCTTGTTAATACCATTGCTGATTTGAAGCACAATTGTTCCTGCCTGCCAGCACAACTCAAGTACATAATGATGTTAGACCATGTTGACTCACACTGATGAAATCAAACACTCTAAAGAAGCAGTTTGCAAAAGGTAATTTGGGGTTGTCCTGATGAAGCCAGCACATACTCTGGGAGCTGGATCATGCTGGGTTGAATAGGTCAGTCTAGAAGCACAGAGTATTCTGAGTTTGAAAAGATCCACAAGGATCATCGAGTCCAACTCCTGCACAGGACCACCCAATCTAAGGGCAGGTCTTGTCCACAGTGCTGGTGAGTACTCAGGAACTGACTGAAAAAAGGCGCTATGCGAACACGTGCATGTGCCTTCATGCAGCCCATGCAACCAGTTCTTGCACACAGATTCAGTGGTGGTGCCTGCCACTCCATGCAGGTAGGCATCAGTTTGTGCTCCGTCATATCTGCAGACAGGTCATGTCTCAGCCAAATCTTGCCACTAATACCTACACTGCTTTAGGGGAAAGGGGGCATTTCTCTAGCAAGTGCCCCTTTGAGACAATTAGGATGTGCTTTTCTTGGCTGAGCAAGTTGAGAGCAAATCACAAGCAGGTGATATGTGGCGTGTAAGAGAATATTTTAGTTTCCCAAATATGTTTCACCCACACTCTCTTTTTCCTTGTGAGAACTGGGTGCTTAAAGAGGAAAGTTTATAGTGCCTATTGTGAGATGTAAGCCAAACATAGCAGCCTTCAGCCTCCCATTTAGCAGTTTTCCAGATCCTGGAGTCATGTAGTAACTATTATAAGGAAAAGGCAGGATTTGTATCTGGATAACAGCTTTGCAAAAATTCAAATTTGTTCAGGCAAATGTTCCAATGCAGTTTTAGGCTCATTTTTTCTAGTACAAATTGATCTAGACCTTGTGGACTGGGCTGATAAACCACGATTTTCTTTTTCTCTAAAATTTGGGGAAACATTTTGGTGGGATGGTGGTCTATTTATTTTATCCTGATCAACTTCAAATCATAGTATAAGCAATCAGAAACCTACTTACAAAGCTATTCTATCTACTCTCTTGTCTCTGCCTCTCTTTCTCTTCCGTTCTCTGTAAGATTTTATGGTGCTTTAGAACGGCATTTTCAGAAAAGGGACAGTTTCATAAATGTCATTATCAGGGTACAAAGCAGAATGTGCTTGTACCGTCTTGATAAGTTTTGCTGCTATTGTCTTTATTATATGATGTAATGTTTTACTAAGATGGAAAAAAAGCAACAAAGACCTTCTAAATGATGAAAACACTTCTCCTGTTTTGTTTGTTTGTTTGTTTGGTTTTTTGTTTTTTTTTTTTGCCTTTTTTTTTTTTTTTCCTATCATCCAGCAAGAACGGGGGTGCTGTAATTAATCTTACCTTCTGCAGTTTCCCAACAGATGCAGTTTGCACCAACAGATGCTGCAACCTGTTGAACTATGGGTCTGTTGTCAGCAAACATGGGTGACAAAAGATTCCTGCAAGCATGGTTGATACCACTGTATAAAGTCTGTAGAGACCCCTCATGGCTGAGCCTTCCCTTGACATAACACCCCTGTGTTGTTGTTGTTTTAATTATTTTGCTATTCTTTATATACTTGCTATGCTACGCAGTCTTTACTGGTTCTAGTTATTTGAGCATTTGTCATATAACTCAACAACTTCAAAACTCACACCCCTATTTCCATACTATTTCTCCCCTTATGAGCACGTGTCTGCTAACTGGGCCTACTTTAGCTACTCTATATCACTCTTGTAAAAGTGATTATTTGCATTTTCTAATTTATGCACCTGTTTGTTCACTTGAATTCCCATTTTCAGGGCATGACCCTATCTAGCAGTAGCTGTTTGCTCTGACTTGGTCACCTACTGCCTGGGATATGCAAAAGGCTGCTTCATTTTTAGAATTGGACAGCAAGCTGATCTGTCTATCTAGCTGACCGATTAATTGTTCCTAGAGGTGATTGGGAAAGATAATGAGAAGAAAACAATAGGGTGGGTGGATGTGTGACCTATTGTGAAATACTTTTTTTTCCCACTTCAAAATCTGGATGCAGGATGCTGAGTGTAGCACTAATATCCTTGCTGAAACATGATTTTCTCAGTGCAGTCTGGTGTTTTGCATAACACCAGCTATTTTGAAATGAACTGTTACCTTCTGGCAAAAATATTACATTACAGTTATATTTAAATTATTAATTTAGAGGTAACATACTAAATCTGAACAGTACACAGAGGAAGATCCCTCACAGATTGCACAGCACAGTGCCTAGACTGGCAGGTGTCAAATTGCTTTCTGACAAAGCTTTAAATCATTTCTACAGAGGACACTGTAGACTTCCTCCCTTTAGGAGTGCCCCTGAGTCGTCCCTTCCTTTCCTTCTGGCACAGTGTGCTGGTGTTTTTCTTGATGATGTTGCCTTGATGGCATTATGAGAGTCAATGTAAAAAATCAACCAACCAACCAAAAACAATGTTAAATGAGCAACTTAGGCTGATTTTATAGCAGAAATCTGAATAGTTCTTGATGTGGCCCCAAAACTTCCACTTTTAATGAAAAGCAGGAAAAACATGAGTATTGTAATTCCTAAAAGCAAACAAACAAAAACAAAAAGACCAAATCCCCTTCCTTAAGTCACTGTTTCACTGAATAAATCTGGACTTCTGTGTTCATGCTTATGCAGATAGCACTGATGAAAATGAAGACATGCACACTACATTTTGCTCCTGTTAACCTTTCAAAGCTAATCCTGCAAGGAGAAAGTCAGCTGCTATTAATCTCTTGTGTCACTACACACAGATTTAACAACGGCAAATTAATTGCTTCCCATTGCGTGAATATTTGGGCAGAAACAGAGAAAGAAAATTCCCCAAGGGGGCTGACCTTGGCCTGTAAAACTCTTCTTCCTACATGGGTTTGTGGGACAGGGAGTACTCAGCCTGCTCTAGAGTACAAGCTGGGCATGCAAAGCCTGAAAAAGAAATAATAATAATAATAATAATAATAATAATAATAATAATAATAATAATAATAATAATAATAATATCAATAACAATAAAAACAACAACAACAAAACACAACATGTAAACCGGGCCTATTTTGCAAAGAATCACTGAAGATTGACAGGAACATCACGAGGTTGTGTTTTGTGATGTCACATTACAGACCTGGGGGTGACTTTTGATGTCACAGCAGGGAAAACAAGAGGTCCTGGAACTGTTGCCACATTTGTTGAAGAGAGCCAGAGGTTGGAGCCAGGCTCAGCAATGCTCCTCCACAGCATGAGTACAGCAGCAGGCTTTTGAGGGATTAAGCACAAGCGAATGATGTCTGCGTGCTTTCTTACAAGTGAAGTAAACACTACCTGAGTAACAACAAGATTTACAGTGAGCAGTAGCTGCAGAAATGTACATGTTGTGCTGTCTTATTTAAACTGAAGTGTTTAATCCTCCAATTCCAGGGGTCTCAAAGACACCAGCCTACTCAGCTCTTCACCCTAGACTCACTCTTAGAGCAGGTCCACCTTGAGGGGGATGCATGCTGTGCTGGGAAGTCAATTGCACTGTTTTATTTCCAATTCTCATTCTGATGTAACTATCTTTGACAAAAGAAATGTACATTTTTGGATTAAAACAATAACAAGTGCAGTTGTCACCCTTTTCCCTTGAATCCCTTCTTCTGCCTGCTGAGAAAGACTTGTAGCAAACAGCACTGTCTTGTTTGAAGGAGGGGATACAACTGGATTTTTCATGGGGAAGAAAAGAGGAAAAATCCCCCTGAAGTCTAGACTTGTCTCAAACTGAACTGGCAAATAAACCTTTTACTTTCTGGCCATGCAGATACACATTCCATGCATACACATAGCACGAAGTTGTTTAACCTTTCACAGCTTTATGAGAGATGTAAACAAATGGTTTACTAACACTGAGTGCTAATAACTTAGCCATACACACTTGCAGGTTCTGCATGAAGCAGTCTGATCTCACTAACTTTTATTTGGCAGTTCCCGAACAAGCCAAGTTACTGCAACAGTGAAATAGGTTCAGACTATACTTGGCAATTTCTCTTTCCTATCATTGGTTTTCTACTCCTGCTCATCTGCTCCTCATTAACACCCTTAGCAAGGGGTCCTCCTGTAGAAAACTTAATCTCAGCTCTCTGCACTGCAACTGCTGAGGTAAGATTTTGGTGTGTATGAAAGGAAGCTATGAAGCCCGAGAGAATTGAGGTATTTTCTATAAATATGACGATGGCCATTGTATTCACAATACTGAGGCTGTTTAATTTTGAGCAATGACCGTGTCAGCCACTGCAGGGATCTAGATAGACTTATTTGTTATTAATGTGTACAGTAAATTTCCAGCAAGCATTCAGATTACAGGAAAATGAGTATGTTGGGGTTTCCCTCAGGTGCTGAAAGAAGTTTTAAAGAAACAGTGTTGTGTGTTAGCTAGATAAACTAGAAAAGCTTGATAAGAAGGGTGCTGTAGCTTGATAAGAAGGATGTACATGTATATGCTGGTATTTCTTAGTTACTTCATCAGTTTACTGGTCAGTTTGTACTAAGAAATTAAAGAAGCTCTGCAGGTGCTTATGGAAACAGAAAGGGAGCTTTGACAGCCCTGAGAGCTTTGGAAAGTAAAACAAGCGTGTAGAGAGAAGCTGCAAGCTCTTTGGAGAAGGCTTTCATGTCCACTAACAAGATCATTAACAGCTTGTGTCACAATCAATATGTATACTGAGTGTATCCATGAAGGTCAGAAAACGTTGGTTGAAATGTCACCCTTTTAAGCAATAAACTCAGGTCGGTCAGTGTCCTTGGCTAGGCAAAGACTGAACATGCTATTGGTGTTGAAACAGGTGGACGTTGGGACATTGCAATGCTAACCATTAAATAAGAAACACTGCAATGGAGACATGTGGGGTTTCTTCTTGTACCGTGTTATCAGACTTTCTTCATTGGCATCTGTTCCATTTAGAGGCCATTAATAATCGCTTTGTTTCCGAGGATTTTAAAGACCGAAGTCTTAGGAGTTCATTCTCATTATAACAATAATTCCATTATTTCTTGACAGTTACTAGGAATAATTTTACAGAGAGATAACTCTGCTAAAGAATAAGGACACTTTGTTTTTCTTCATTTTAGGAAAGGATAATGGGAATGGATTAGGTTAAGGTGTGCCGTGCTTGGACCAGACTTTAAATATGGTTTTCAGTGAAGCATTAGTTACAAAAATTGTGTAAGGCTAGCAAAATACTGTGGGAAGCCTCAGTCACTGGGCTAACAACAGGCTGGAAAAGAGATGAAACCTTGGTAAAACTAGAGCTCAGAATTATTGATCTTTCAGTTCAAAGGTAAAACCTGGAAGTCAAAGAAGTAATTTGGGGGTCAAGCCAAAATAAAATGTTTTCTTCTTGGTGAAATTAAAAAAAAAAAACAAAACAACAACAACAAAAAAACCTAGAACCACATTTAAATGAAATATCTTTATGATGTAGAGCAAGGGGAGAAAACTTGCCAGGGGAGTTTTATGTTGGATGTTAGGAAGAACTTCTTTACCAAAAGGGTTATTAGGCATTGGAATGGGCTGCCCAGGGAAGTGGTTGAGTCACCATCCCTGGAGGTATTTAAAAGACATTTAGATGTAGAGCTTAGTGATATGGTTTAGTGGAGGACTTGTTAGTGTTAGGTCAGAGGTTGGACTCAATGATCTTGAGGTCTCTTCCAACCTAGAAATTCTGTGATTCTGTGAAAATGTCACATTTCGATTTAAAATGAACTTGAAAGTGAAAACTCTGCCTCTGGGGTAGAGTTCATTTCTTGCTTCTAACAAAATATTTTGGCTTACGAAGTGAAAGTTAGATAGTTCCTTCTTTTTACTTCCAGGTGAAATAAGCCAATGTATAATTCAACTGAATTTGGTTTGTCAACTGAAATGAGAGTCAAAGATCAGCCAGTAGGAGGCACATATGGTTCAATGAGGACACATACACTCCTTTTGTACACCCAAATCCCAGCAGTACTGAAGCCTGCTTTGCATTTGACAAAATCACTGAAAAGGCCAAGCTAGTGTTTGGGAAACTTAGTCATTTCACAACAGGAGTTTAATGTAGTGCACCAGTCTTTTTCTGAGCAGTCAACACTAAACTGAGAACATGTTAAATCTTAATAATTTAAATTACTTTTGTAGCATAGAAAATTCTAGTTGATTATTAACTTCAGTTCTGGGCAGAGGGTGTTTTCTTCCTTGAGTACTTTTTTCCAGTCT